TGTGGTTTTTGGTTTTTTTGGTTGTGTGTGGTGGTTTTTTTTGTTTGTTTGTTTGTTGTGTTTTGTTTTGTTTTGTTTTGTTTTTTTTAAAGGGCAGTGGAAGACCTGTAATTTAACTGCAGATGAAAGATAATAGTATTGGGAAATTTTAGTTTAAATTAGTTGGGTTGAGGTCAAACTTTTTTTTTAACAGTCACGTTTTTGCAATAACATAGTATTTCAAATATTCTCAAGTATTTTGGACACTCAGAACACCTGTAAGTAGCAATAACTGGGTACTTAACAAAAAGAAAGTAGCTGTGTCAAGAAGTCCATCGCCTTGTCAAGTTAGTGTTTTTACATGTCTTTTACCCTATAGCTGATCAGAGTTAAAATGCATGTATTTCCTGTATTGAGGGTACTGGATGTCTGAGACAGTTTGTTTTGGAAGGTCATTATGTGGGTTCTTGATGCAGTTCAATTAAGGAAGGACCAAGCAGGGTGAATAAATCCACGCCCTTAGGCTGGATCACTCTTCCTCTCGCCAACTGCCATCTTTCTGCTTTGTCTTCTTTTGCCTCTTGGCTTTTTGGAAATTTACTTTTCATTGCCTCTCCTACCTGATTTTTGCTTTTGGAATGTACAGATCTTGCAAAATAATATTTAAGGTTATTTTAAAAAAAAAAAAAAAAAAAAAGAAGTGACAGGGGTTCTGATATTCTTGTTACCGTTGTGAGTCTACCCCTTGGCTTAAAAGGTAGATTTTTTGCAGTTCTCCAAGTCGGTAGCGGTGATCTGCTCACTTATCTTTTTTTTTAATCTTCTGTGGTGATAAAATCCAATGCTGCTTTTTTTATTGAAGCTTGTTGACATTAATAGAGAGTTCTCACATTTTGTTTCACACACATACACCCCCTCCAGTCAGGCATAATACTTGCCTGAGACTGATGGTTTTCTTTTGACACCTGAGAATCTGGAGATTGGCTGAAACCTCCTCACGTTGTACGGCCCTGGCTAGTTCTTCCTGCTGCTGAGTCTTACAGAGAGAACGGCAAGTTTAATTTTTATCCGTTTATCCATCTTTTGCAGATAGTAGTGAAGAAAGGAATAATGCATGCACAGGTATGGGGAAGGGAGAAGCAGATGTGTTCAAATCATGCTACATAAACATATCATCAAACTGTAGAAATGTGTAGTTCTGGAATTGTCAGGAAAAGTGTTTTGGAACAGAGCTATGGAATATAAATGGTACTTGGGGTTATGAAGAGGAATGCAGGGTAACTTAGGTCTGTCATGCAGTTAAGTGTAATGAATACATAGTTAAAATGGTTTCATGGAATCAGGCTTAACTGGAGTAGTATTTCTTGTTCTGATATCCAAGTTTTTGCATGGTAGAATGTGGATTTTACTTGTTAGCTGTGATGTAAAGTTGCTGCGATATGGAGGCTATCGGTGTAATTACAGGCTGACTAGTAGTTCTATTTAGAGAAGAAAAAAAAAGTGGTAATCCAAAGCATCAAATCTGTAAGTGCAAATTAGTTGATATCTTTACTGGGCAGGGAGTGATGGTTAAACATGCAATGATATAATTTCAATCAACACTTGCAAGTTTTCATGCATTTCAAATAATTGTGAATCTTTATTACTCTTCCATAAGTGATGAACAAAATAATTAAGTTACAGAAACACCACTTAAGAAATCTGTACCTTATGCCCTGAAGGAATAGGTTTGTGTGGAAAGGAACTCTTTGGTTTGTTGGCTTCTCATTACGGTCAGTTCTTTCCTGTCATGGTTGGCTGTATGGCAATTTCTTCTCCTTTTCCACTGCTTCCCAAATGAACAATAGTTCAAAGCAAAACCATGAGAATCAGTAGTTAACTGTCAGGACAAGTTAGGGAAGGATTTCTATTATGCTAAAGGCTATTGCAGGTTTCTGGAGGCATTTTGATTCCTGCAGTTTTATTGCTCTACAGACTTTCCAGGGACTGTTGGAGGAGCTCTGGGACCTGGAATGAGGCCGTCACAAGGGTGGCTGTATATTTGACTCTGCCCTCTACAGCAGACAAGGAGTCCAAGCCCAAGGCACTGCTTGTCAGCTCAGTTTGGGCACTCATATCCACACTGTTGTGATCCACTACCTTCCATTGCTCACTGTAAGGGAAAATCATCCTTCCCACAGGAAGGCAGGAAAACATCTAGACCAAGTTGTCATCCCTTTTGAGTGCCTTAATTGTAACGCACTTAGAGCAGGTCTCGTATGCAGTGTTCCTGAATTAAAATTGCTGGTGCTTTGTCTGCATCTCAAGTTATTTTCGTCTAGGCATACTGCAGAAAGATCTTCCTGACTCCTCTGGTCTGAGACTTGCATTTTCATGTGTTACTGGTTTCCAGATTGTCTTCTGGCTGGAAACAAGAAAACACAGCAGTGACTGCTCAGGTCAGGTATCTCTACCCTGTGTGAATCCTGTGTCCCTGCCTGTTTAAATGGAGGGACACCTTTGACTCACAAAGTCATTGAACCCAATTGCTGTTGGTCCACAGGAAAAATATATTCTTCTGCAAGTGTCTCCTGTTTTTTACAAAGTATCATCTACTGGTCTCTGCTGTAGTAAAAGGTTACTGCCATAGCTGAATCTTCAGACTGACCTGGTGCAGCCTTTTTATACGCTGATGTGGTAGTTTCTAAGCAATGCAGTAAATAATATGTATCCCAGCTGTGCTGAATTACTTAAAAAGGAGGAATGTTTTTGGAGAAGAGGGCTGCAACTGCCCTTAAGACATGCTTTTTTTTTCTCTTCACCTGGACTCTCAAGGCACAGGTCATCCTTTGCCATCCTCTCTGTCCTCATCTTTCCTTTCTTGGCTTGGAGCCTTTGGTCTGAGACTGTGATGATGTTTGGCAAATGCTTGCCTGCTACTTCAGCATAAATAGCTCTTTCTGAGCTCAGGATGAGGTGGTAACTAGAAGGTGCTGTTCATTTTCACTATTTCATAGTGTTTCAAGTAATTGTTACTGGTTAATTGAAATCGTAATGTTGAGCTCTAAAATGCTTAGTTTGCTTTTCCTAAGCATATTTAGTAATCCTTCAGTTTTCTTCTATGGTAAGAAACGCTGATATGATCATGGAGGAAAAAATAAAAATACTTACAAGCAGTATTTGCTTTCCTCAACCTTTACTAGGTGAACCAGAATTGACAAGCATTGGGTTGTGGGAAAATGATTTGTGTGCTGCTTCATGGTCAGGCCTGGCTGACACAAGACACTTGTTCTAACTGGTGTACAGCCCCATCCAATACAGACATAAACCTGGGACTTCAGCTTTTGATCAGATTGGACTTCTTCAGATAATACAACAGAAGCCTAATGACTATAATGTCTTCTCTTGGAGCTGGAATACCAAAAGGTTAACTCAGGTCTTCAGAGCATCTTAATCTGAGCCTTTGGTTTTCCTTCTCCTCCAGTGAGTGAGTGGAAGGCAGCTCAAGATTGTAATATATCAAAATACTTATTTTTTCAAAGTGTTTTCATGTAAATACACCTGTTCCTCTAGTACACACAAGCTTCTATTTGTAGCTGAAATGTAAAGCGATGTGATAAATAAAGATGGAGAGAGCTTCCAAATTCATGGCTAATACATCTTTGTAATATTGAGCAAAAGTAGTATATTTAGTGGGGAGTAGAGATACAATACAAAATACAAGTTTGCTTTGCGATTGTTTTTAGTTAGGCAGTGGGAAAACTTGCTTACAGCTGACAATTTCTTAAGTTAGTGAGGATACTGTCTGGGGTGGGAACTTGCCTCCAACTTTTTTATTCTCTGGATCAAGAGATATAACTAAATACCCTTCTTCCTCTCCTGAATGGTGTATCAGAGGGGAAACAATGATTTGCAAAACCTTTGCTTGCTTACAGACAATGTGGTCAGGCATAACTTTTCAGCTGTTATTTCCTGTAATGCTGGGAATTGACTCTGTAACACTGGGACTACTTCAGTTCAGTGGTGTTTGATTACTGTGGAGTTGCACCTCATCTGCTTGGTAGGAGCATTCCTGCGTGCATGTGACATGCAGTTATTCATCTGGTTTGCATGGGTTTGGAGTTGGTTAAATCAGGATTTGGAGTAACACCGTTTGGATTTGTAATGGAAACGTGATTAGCTGTTTGCTTTCAGTTGATGAGACCTTTACAGAAGGAATAAAATGATAAATATTTGTGGAGGTAGAAAAATGGAGCCTTATTTTTCTTTCTGTGTGTGGAATTGTCAGTGAGGTTGGACCCTGATGCAGTCCTAAGGACATAATTTCTATTGGGAGCAATGATGAACTTAACTAACTTGCCAGTTTTCCAAGAATCAACTCCCTCCTTCCCCCAGTAGTTTTTATTTAATTTTATAGTAAATGGCTCTGTGATTTGTTTCTGTCCAGATTGTGCCTCTGAAAAATAGCATGTTTCTAGAATAAACAGATATTCTCCCTTACCTGGGCAGGCATTGTTACCACTGACACTGGTAGTTGCAGTTGTTGACATGAAGTATGATGTGCAGTAAAAAATAGTGTGTTTTTAGAACAGGCAAATGTTCTCGTTTACCTAGGTGGAGAAGTTACTGCTGATGGCAACCACAGTTGTTGACATTTAGCATGATGAGCAGTCCAAGGCTTTTCTTGTAGGGAAGAAATGTATTGTGGTGGATGGGAAGCAGTTTAGCTATGTACAGACTGGAAGAGTCTTTTCACAACCTTGAAGGACTGGAGTTAGTTTGAGCTTGCTAATGCCAGTGGAGATGATAGAGTTAGACTTGCTACAGAGAGCTCATCCATTTTGCAGCATGGTAACTTCTGGTATTCTTGAATTTTTGTATAATTTATCCAAACCCCCGGTGTTTTTCACATTCAACTGTCAGTCTTGTAAGATTGAGTGAGACTTTTGGTCTCATGTACCCAAAGCCTTAGCATGAAATTCTGTGCAGCAGACCATTAAATGTCATTGTGCTGATTTTGTGAATGTTGTCCATTTTTACAGATGCCTTTGTAAATAGCCAGGAATGGACACTAAGCCGATCTGTACCAGAACTGAAAGTGGTGAGTTTATATTTACTTCCGTCTCTGAAAAACATCCTAAAAATGTTACACACAAGTGAAAATCTTCTAAGCTTCATTAAATCTACTGTTGGGGAAAAAATATAGAAAGCAATTTTAAGTAGTATTTTTCTTCAACACAACTATCTTTATGAAGTTTATGTATCTTCTGTTTTTATAATTATGCTTCAAAGATCTGTTTGTATTTTATTGCTGTTTTGACTTGTTTGGCTACATGAACCAGCTTCCTCGGGTGGTCTTCTCAGTAGGGAAGCCTTAACGCTTCTGTAAGAGGGGGAAGTGGAAGTTAGCAGGTGATATGTAAAGGTCCTTTTATCTCACTGTAATAATTTTTCACAATTTATTCAAGGACCAAATGTCTTTTCTCCCTCTCTTAAAAGAATTTAACTGAATTTATAATGAAAAAAAAAATTTTGAAGGTTCATATAGTGAATCAAAAACTACATTTTACTATAAGAATGAACAGTGATTTAATAGCTGCTTACAATAACTTTTCCCTTGGCTGAGCCATTTTCCATGTAGGTGGAAGAAAAGGCAAAAATGACACAGACAGATTGGGGGAATTTCCCAGATTTGCCCTTTTAAGCATTATGAACATGGAGGCTGGAGGTGAGGGCTGAAACCTCTTTGTAGTAGATATCAAACCAGCAGCTTGTCATGCCAGCAGTACAGAGTTGTTGAGGCCAGATTGCTGTCATGTTTACCACATGGAAGTCCAGATTTAATTAAACACAATCAGTTTCTCAAACCCTGCAAAATGACTGTGGTACCCAGGATACAGAACTTGGCAATACCTTTGGTCTGTGCTCAGCTCCTGTTGTCCAGCTGTAACTGGATGAGCTGCTTCGATCCAAACACCTGTTTGCCGTGTGGCAAAGTGAATTGGGTAGAAGCATCTGAATTTAAGAATGGGCAGCTGGAGCCATGTTTCACTAGCCCACTTCTCATGTGGTAAAAGTCTTTTTCCTAATCTGAGTTAATAATAGTGTTTATGGAGGTGAGAGAAAGCATGTCAAACTTAGTGTGACACATGCACTTACGCAAAATGGTGTTTTAATTGAAGCAGCTTCCTGATGACTACAGTTATGTTTCTGTTTTGATTATGCTTCTGTTTTGATTTCAGCAGTGCACAAGGTAAGTGGAAGAGAAATGTGGTAGTTGGTGGATGTAACTATATAATACAAGAAGGGCCTGCAGAGGGTCTCCAGATTCAATTTAACTGATGGTGTAATTTGGAAGACAAGTATCTCCCCAAATACCTTGTAGAATAAAATGCTAAGAATTTAGGACTGGAAGGTTGGATATGAGTCCAGTCCCCTGTGGTATTAGCTAGCTTACGCTGGGGAGGATCTACAGAGGGTTTCCTTTTTCATCCCTTCCCTTTCTCTTAGCACTGCTAATTCACAACACCCACCAATAAACTTAGGGCTTGCAGGTGAGACCAAAGGTGCAATTATTATGTGTTGTAATACAGAACACAATTGCCGAGCATTAGGTCATGATCTCAGGGTACACGCATTTCTGTGATACCATGGCTGCATTATGTGAATAGGTATCTTGCCCCCCGTGTTATCTGAACCAGTGGTAGGAAAAAAAACTTCTGCTGTGTGGCTGCTGTAGAGAATTGATTTTAAGTGGTCGCATGCATGAACCGTCCACAGCTTCAGTTTGTATAATCCTAGATAAAAGCAGAACTCTTACCATTACAAAAACAATAATTTGATTATACCACTGCAAATTATTGAAGCTAGCAGCACCAGCTGTGTCTGTGAACTTGTGCTCAGTAGGAAGGCCAAATTAGGAGCTCCATCTGAAATCTTCTCTGCCTTTCCTATACATCTGCCCTTGGGAAGGAGTTGGTGTAGGGACTCGTCTCTGTGTCGTTCACCTGCTTCCAGCCTCATCGTCATCTGTCAGTTATGGCTGAGGAAGGAAAGGGCCGTGTTAAAACCCACCCCTGCCTCTTCTGCCACAGCGCTATCATTACATTCACCACTAAGGATAACTGTGGGTGTGTTGCTTTATCTTGTGGCCGTGTTGGGGATGTCAGAAGCATGAGAAGCGTGGAGTATTTGCTCCTGTTGCTGTACAGTGCAGCAGTGCAGATGGGGAGATGAGGCTTAATGTTGCAAGGTTATGAAGGAGCCCCAGCTTTAGCTGCTTGAGCAGGCTGTACTCTGCAGCGGAAGATGGCTAGTAGCTCACTGGGAGAGATTGTCTTCTCTATAGAGGCTGCGAGATCCTTAGGTCCTTAAATTGAGGTGGTGGTTTGATTTTTTTTTTTTATTTTTATTTTTTAAATAGTGGCTGTTGTTGTATCATTAGGCTCTGCAGAAGTTTAAGGGGAATAGAAATGGACTGTGGGAGAGCAGAGAAAGCACATAGGGTTGCAATAAAGAAAAGTTGATGGATGTATCTTTCAACACACTTTTAAGGAAACAATACCAGTCTTTCCCTCTGCCTCCTTTTCTAGCAATACACATTGGGCTTGATGTCTTTCCAGTTCTCAGAAGGATATTTGTTTCTGCTGATCAAATACTACCACAGAGTTTTACTTATGGATATTGATGCTTCTATTATGGTCAAGAGTGCGCTAGGCCAGCTGGGTGAGACCAGTCCCTTTCCTGAGCGATGGTGGTATTCCTGGATCCCGTTTATCCAAATGTAAAATAAGGATGTGTTAGGCAGAATAAATATAAGATCTTTTTGGACAAAATAATTTAGTTTTTTCAAAAAAAATATGGAAAGCGCAGTCAGGCTTCTGTGCTGGATAGCTTTAAAGTGCCAAATGCTGTCAATACATTTATGCATTTTTGCAAACAGGCTTTAGTAGGATGTGGGCATAGTGGTTTGGATTTATTTTGCAGCATGTCTGGCACATGCAAATAAATGATTCAGTGTTGCACAGTTCATAACTGACAGAGCTTTGCATTGTAGCCTTGTTAGCTGAATTTTCTTGTTTCTGAACTGGGTTAGGGTGGTATTTTTATTCAGTAATATGCTTGTCATAACTTTGTACATTTTATATGTATTCATAAATAAATAGAAATGTCTCAGATTGTATATAAAATATGGGAGACAGGAATATGACTACTGTGAAAACATACTGGCATATCTGTCATACTGTGGGGGATCATCCTTGAAACAAATATTAATCCTGATTAAGAGAGAAATTGTATATAGAAGTCAGATTTTTTCCAGTGTAATGTTCATTGCTCCTAGTTTTCAAAGGTTAATAGTGTGCGGAGACCCAGAGCAGTAATGCCAAGCACTGCACTGAACAACAAAATGCCAATTCTGCTAGATTTTAATTTCATGTCCTTGTTTCATATCTGGTAGAAAAGAGATGGCTGCCTTGTCTCTTCAAATGCAGGCACTGAGGTGACATCTTAAGGAAGCCTCTCTCTTGCCAGATGAGAAGAGGAGGAGGAGGTAGATGTGTCCTGAATGCTTTCTGAAGTAGTTGTCTAGGGAAAAAAATAAAGCTGTGCTGCAAATGTAGATTTTTATAGTAAGGTTTGAGGAAACTTGCTTTGGGTTCATGTGATTTTTGAGAAGTTACTATTAGTACTCCAACCCAAAACTAGCTCTGTTAATGCTTTTTTCAGGTTCACTTTTGTTCACCATTTAAGCTCCTAAAGAACTTTTGTCAGTTCGGTGGGTAGTTTGCAACTGATTTAAAATATAAATCCAAGAGCTTCTCTCTTTAGAAACAGTTGAATATTCCGATCAAGACAATCAGTCCTGCGTGATCTTTAAAACACCAACACTTTTTGGTCTCAATCTTGAGACAACTTATGGAAATGAATAAAAGGAGAAAGAGGGAGGAAATACACTGCCTTTCTTTGAGGACTGTGCATGGTTTTTAATAAAATATCTTAAGGGAAGGAGAGTCTAGTTTTACTACATGAGTTAGTGAAGTGGTTTCTTAATTGAAATATACACCTTGCTCTTCCCGATCACTGCTTTCTGCATCTGTTTGTAGCATCACATTTAATAATGCTCTTCTGGCCAGGCACCTTTGTCTTTCTGGGTGCCTATAAGGAGGAACGTACTGGAGAACCTGAAGTGCAGTAAAATTACATATGCTATGTGGTCTCTGGGATACTTGGGAAAAATATACATATAAAATTGTATTCTCAAATCACTACATCTTTCAAATATTTGGGGTCTCTGACTAAATACTGTAACACATCCCAACCATGGACAAAGGACATAGCATGTTCACTCTCACTGGAGCCCAAGCTGATGCTTTTCTGTTGTTCCTGGCAGTTTTGCCCTCTGACTGGTTATGTTTTTGGCAGTGGTATAATATAGCATTAATGTACATACATGCAGGACTAGTCACTTTAAGTGAAGGTTTCAGTATCTGCTGCGAAGGTGTTTGCATAACTGATTATATGCCCTGATCTAGTGGAGGGGTTTTTGTGGATGTATTGGTGCTACACTGGTTCGCTGCAAGGTAGGTCAGAAACAGCTTCGGTATGTTGTTTGTAAAGGTCTAGAGCTACTGCTTCTAAAATGAAAACATAAAACACTCTCCTCTGTCAGTATTTTCCTGGCAAACCCATGTGAAGCTTGCTTGCTTGCTTCCCAATTTTTCAGAAATTGTCGTTCTCAGAAAGGGCCTTAGCCTGGCTATTTATCTGCAGAGGTAAATCTAATTTACTGATTTACAGATTTTTGGTTTGCTTGCCATTTTTGGCTCAGACTGTCATAATGTAGAGCTGGTGGGGAAGAAGGAGAGAGGAATGCTTGCCTTAGGAATGTGGTGTTCAGCTTCTGCTCTGGGGTGAACCTGCTGTTGTAGTAAATACAGCCTACTGATGAGCTATGTGCTGAAGAAAACAGCCAACTAACAAGCAGTTTAGTTAATCTGTTTTTAAAAATTGGAAATCTGTTAAAATCTGGAATATTGTGTCTTGGCCGCTTTAATAAAAAAAAGTTAAATAAGTTTTCACACAGTAAAACTTAACTATTTGAGTGGTCATGAATCCCGAACAGTGAGAAATGCGAAGGGAAAAAGGTGTGGGAAGTAACCTCTCACCAGGAGGCTTTGTATGGAAAGGAAGAGGGTATTAATTCTGCGGTGAGAAGAGGAGGGGTGCAAAGGCCAAGCTGCTATTCACAGGGTTTCCTCAGGCATCGTGGGTTTTTTTGTCTGAAAAATATGGAGGGGTATTTGAACATTTTGCTTAATTAGGGAAAGGTATGAGTAGACAAGCTTTCTGTGGTTTATTGGCATATAATGGAGGGAAAAGTTACTCACTTAAGAGGTTGCTTGATGTTTGGGGGTTAAGGGACATATGTTAGAGATGGCATTTTCTTCCTCTTAACCTCTCACTTGATATCTGGTTGAACATTGGAGAAAGCTGAAATGAAGTTGTGGTGAAGTCAAGCATTCAGAATGGAGATCCAAGATTTGGATGTCAGTGCGGTATTGTGTTACTTTTTGTTCTTTGTATGTGCAGGTGGAAGTCCCAAACTGTTTTTTCCCCCTTCTGACTACCTTCCCTATACGTTGAATGGGGGAATTGGGGATCAATGTAATAAAAAAAATCAGCTAATCAGTATTGTGTGTGTTCTTGTGCCGTACAGAATCTTAGGGCTTTGCTTGCTGTCCACTACTCATGTTCTCTTTTGAATACAGCACATCATTTCTGCGTTAAGTTTTCTTTAGGTCTTGTCACTTAATTTTCAGTGACGCACCATATACTTTCCCAAATGCATCTGTGAGATGAAAGAAAAATTTTGAACATGTGAGTGCTGGAGAGAGAGAGCAGTTTCATTTCTCCTAATAGCTTGTGCTTTCACAAGCTTGTGCTTGTGAAAGATGTCGAGCCGGAATGTGCAGGAAACTAAACCCAGTGCAGTCCCACGACACGTGTGCCCACACCACTTGCTCACAGCTGTTGTCTCTCTCATGTTGGCAAAACATGGAAGTTGTAGTGACCTCATGTTGTAGTTTTTTTCAGTAGATTGCCCAGAGGACTTAAATGATCTGTGTACCCAAAATGGTTAGTTGCTCAAACCAAGAGACCTTCTTTCTAGACTCTTTTTCAAAACCTTTGCTTTCAGCCAGTAAGTGTGGGCATCTTGGAGGCAACAGCAAAGCAGGGCATGTGGAGCATGCTAATCGTTTAGGAGGCCTGAGGTATCAGGTGCATCCTTTTCTTGTTGGTGTTTAGCATCCTGTGATGAGGTTTGTCAAGTAGATGATGTCAGGCACCTGCAGAAGTTACCCTTCTCCTTAGAGAGGTTATCGGTTGCTTTTTCTTTTCTGTGAAGTTGCAAACATACATCTTGTTAAGAAGATATCTTCTGTAACTTTTTTTTTTCTGGGTTCCAAGTGAAGCTTACTAGTCTTGAAGGGCAAAACAGGTCTGAAAAATGGTTTTGTCTCGGCCAGACCTGACTGAAGCTCTACAGTGTGTTTTGAGAGGGCATTGTCCCATGGAAGTGGGGTCTGAGAACACAAGGTTAGTCAGCCACAGAGGTGGCGTTTGCCTCTGTCACGTAACTTGCACTTCCTTTTGGATATAGACATCTTGGAATGTACTAGCATGGCCTGTAATTTCTCTTAGCTGTAAGTTAGATTAAAAGCTTCCAGTATGGTATGCTGGTTTAAACGCTCTTCAAAGTCAGCTCAAAGCCCAATAAACAGATGTGTGTTGTCCAACCGCTTGGGCTGTGGCTTCCTTCTTATTTTTGTGGGACTGCTCTTCGACAGCAGCTATGCTTATAGTGGGTTTCTTATTTTATATTTCTCTTTTGTTTTCTTTTTTTTTAAACTACAAACTGTTTCATGTTTGTTAAAGTTTGTTCCTGCTAACCTGAACAAGTCAAGGGTAAAGCTTCCTGGAGCATTAGGCCAGCGTGGGATCTGGTGTCTGTGCTTTTCCCTGCCTTTTCTGCCCCTCACACCACCAAGTTAGGTCATGGTTTATTCTTGTTTGTCATTACTTTTGAAATCTCTTTTGGAGTTCTTGTTGTTTTTTTTTCCCTCCACTGTAGCCCACAATGTTCATCACACTTAAAGCTTATGCTGTCATAGGGGCTGAAGGGTGATGCGACGCTGCCTTCTGTTTACTCTCTGCCCTAAGTTGCTGCTTTATCTGAGCTGTTCTTGCACACTAGCTGTAGAGATAAAGTGGGCATCCTTTGCAGTAGTTACCCTTGTCTTAATTGAAAGTCGTTCTGGGTTGAAAGAATAAATAATTGGTTCATCTGCCCTCAGGCTCCAGAACTGTCATTGGATTAGTTTAAGGTGGCACCACTCTGCTTTAAGCAATTTTTTATAAGGAGGATAGTTTCTTATCAGTTAGGATTAAGAAAATGGAGTAGAGAATGTACATTAATGTGTAACCTGTTCATGCTTTCTCTTTCAATTTGGCAGACTTGGGCAGATTAGCAGAGTTCGTCCTTTCTCCAGAGATCTTATGTTCTGAACCTTTTGGTTAGGGTCAAGATAGAATAGAATAGAATTGTTTAGGTTGGAAAAGACCTTTAAGATCATCCAGTCCAACCATTAACCTAACATTACCAAGTCCACAACTAAACCGATTAAGGGTAGAGTTGCAATTTCATGTTTCCTGGCTTGGTGGATAGATTATTTATCATGAAAGTAAAAACTAGGAATCATTAAGGTTGGAAAGGACCTCTAGGATCATCAGTCCAACCATCAACCCAATACCACCATGCCCACTAAACCATGTCCCAGAGTGCCACATCTACCCATTTTTTAAACACTTCCAGGGATGGTGACTCCACCACCTCTCTGCGCAGCCTGTTCCAATGCTTGGCTACACTTTCCATGAAGACATTTTTCCCAATATCCAATCTAAACCTCCCCTGGCACAGCTTGAGCCCATTTCCTCTTGTCCTATCACTAGTTACTTGGGAGAAGAGACCAACACCCACCTCACTACAACCTCCTTTCAGGTAGTTGTAGAGAGCAATAAGGTCTCCCTTCAGCCTCCTCTTCCGCAGGCTAAACAATCCCAGTTTTCTCAGCTGCTCCTCATAGGACTTGTGTTCTAGACCTTCAGCAGCTTTGTTGCCCTTCTCTGGACACGCTCCAGCACCTCAATGTCTTTCCTGTACTGAGAGACCCAAAACTGGACGCAGTATTCCAGGTGCGGCCTCACCAGTGCTGAGTACAGGGGGACAATCACCTCCCTGCTCCTGCTGGCCACAGCATTCCTGATACAAGCCAGGATGCTGTTGGCCTTCTTGGCCACCTGGGCAAAGATAAACATGTACGTACAGAGTAGGCTTAGGTTTGTTTTAAAGGATGAAATAAGTTCCCATTTCCTCCCCCAGCAACTGAGTAAGCACAGTGTCCTCAACAGGGAGATCTGAATAAGCAGATGACAATTGAGCAAGGAAAAGAAAAAAAAAAAAGAAAAAGAGAGAGGTATGTTCTCCAAAGCCTCCTGTGCAGAGCAGGGTAGGCAGCCAGGCTTGGACCTTCCCTGCTGCATCTGTCAGTCCACTTCTGGTTGATGGTCAGGCCTGTGGACAAATCAGCAGGGCTTGTATTGGCCAGCAACACAAGGCTTTGGCTTGAAAGGGATGGCTTGTTTGGTATTGTAGGAGTAATGCAGGCAGGCTTCGTAACTTCCTCACACCCTTTTTAAAGCAAGAAGGAAAAAAAGCAAATCTTGAAGTCTTTGGCATTTGAGCACCTCTGGGAAGAAAACTGTTCTGGTGTTGGGCTACATTCTATTACTTCTGCCTGGTTTTTAAAAACAAATACTAGCTAACCAGCTTAACAGAAGAATCACATATGCTTTAAGATTGAGTATTTCTGTTTGTCAGATGTTCCCAATGCAGATGTTTGGGCATGGATGGTTTGAGTTACAAACTTCTTGGTAAAGTAACGGACTTCAACAAGTCATAGTGGACATGCCAAGATCTATCTGTCTATAGCCATACATATCATGTGTGTGCTTCAGTAGTGAGTCAGCGTGAATCACGTGGTGGATAGCCTACAGAGATATTTTCCAGTATGAGAATTCAGTGATGTGTTTATATTTTTCAGTAAAGAGGTGACAAGCTTGCTCTGAGCTTCAGGCTTCTTCCCTGAAGTCTGTGTATTGGCTGATGTTTCCATTTAGCATTAGTGGCAAGCTAAATAAAGGAGTGCTACTAACATAGAGTGATTTTTGGTTTATATGTTTTGTCATGTATATGCTCTGCTGTAGCCTTAGCTTTTCGGCACCTACTTTATCTGTTGGCATATTTGGGGGTGTTTCTATTGTGTGGGCTTTCTCCTCAAGTGCAGAGAAGTTATTTCTGCATTAAGGTTTTGCTTGGATGTACTGCTTTTTACAGGGATTAATTACAGTTGAATTTTTTTCTTTTTTTTTCCCCAGGGGATTGTGGGTAACCTAGCAAGTGGCAAGTCTGCACTTGTGCACCGGTATCTGACTGGCACATATGTCCAAGAGGAATCACCTGAAGGTATGTGCATATGCAAATTTCACTGGTGTCGTTCCCCCCCCACCCGCCCGCCCCGCACAAACTGCATCTTTATTCATTTTTAATCATGCAGAAATGAATCGGTAAAGAATCTGATTAGCTATTTCAATGTTCATGGAGATTTTTTTCCTTTAACATTCTCCAGACTGAGATAAGTATATACGATGAGTATAATTGTAGCTTTTTCATAACTATTTGGCATCCTTAAATACTTCAGCATCCAGTATGTGTCCATATGGGAAACTTCTAGTCCTGTATTGAGAAGAGTTAACTGCTCTCAGTAGTGCTGCTGCATTCAATTTGGCTGTTGAAAGCCATAATTATTGTATCTAGTACTGGATTTCTGCAGAATCAGGCCCTTTGGTTTGTGATGTTGGGAGAATAAATAAACTTCACAAGCCTAAACTTAAAGATGTAACTTGTTCCTTGTTTAATATATTAAATCTTTGGTCTTGAAGTTTTGGGGTTTTTTGGTTTTGTGGTTTTTTTTTTTTTTAATGTTCTTATGCTATAGAAAATTAATTTATACGTGAAAAAATGTTGTAGTGTTTAATATTAATCCAAGTTTATAGCTTGAAATAAAAAATATCATAGTACCTTATAGAGGTGTATCTCACACTAAATACTTTTTTGATTTTTTTTTTTTTTAACTTATTTTCCTTATGAACTTTTAAATCCAACTCTGAGACACTGAATTTCTGGTTCCTTCTTTTCCTTACTGGCTGTTCCATTCTTTGCAGATATGGATGCAGGTAACTATACATTGTCTTCATGGCAGCTCTTGTTTTGAAGAGACAGACAGCAGTTTCTGTACTATAGTGTTTTCCCCTTGTTTTGTGTATCATTCTGATTTGTTTCCTTTTGATTTCAAGTCTTTAGTACATCTCACTGTTTTTGTCTCTTGCTGTAGTTGTCTTTTCAGCAATAGTTTGTAGCTTCATGCATCTATGATAACATTTGTTTCAAATTAACTCTTACTGAAGGAAGCTATTAAGCATAGTACTTGACATTTTAACAGTCTTGAGTTGTAGTTAAAATGGGAGGAGAGGGAAAGGGAGGGATGGACAAGGCTTTTTCTTGTGTAATTGCAGTAACACTGAAGTCTCTTCCAGTCTGTAGGCTTGTCTTAAATGTTTTTGCTGCTTTGTAGCTAGGACTGATGGGGTGATAATGGAGCCTTGCAACAAAACTGCATGTAGATCACATTTATGTGTGCTGCTTTTGGATTCTGATAGTGAGAAATGGTTATGTAGTAAGTAGATCCACTGAATACAAGTCTTCTGCAAAAATGAGTATCCCTACAGATGCCTTACCTCATTTCATGAACAGAAAATATTTTGGTTTTTTTTTTTCTTTTTCTTGCAGATTCAACTGTATTGATTATTCACAGGGTTAACAGTCCTGTCCTAAACTATGAATATTTTAGATGGTGTTCCTTGAGAGTGTTGCCATCTGTCCTCTTTGTCTTCAGGGATTTTTATTTACAGTGCTTGAGTGACATTCTGACTGTTCTTCCTGAAAGGATTAGATTACAAAAGCAGTGTCAAATCATTTCTTTGCACATAAGTGTAGCTGACAAGCCTCACTAATGACACCATTCCATTTCATTAACAGTAGAAAAACTGGAACAATTAAGAGCTCTAATTCACCTTGTAAGGGATTGGGTCAAGATTTCTAATCAAGTTAGTCTTAAAGGAAAATCAACCTATATATCCTTAGTAAACATCTATAGTAGTGATTTGTTAGTGTTTTATTTCTTTCTCATCCAAGCTAAGTGCATATGCTGCAATTCTATAGAAAATACAGCAGCAATGCAGATGGTTCTGTTGCATTGCAGTGCAGGACTTTTGATTTTTTACATTCTGCGTGGAAACATAGCTTTTGATAAATCTAAGCTAAGTGTAAGCCTTTATGTTGGAGACCAATGTGGATCTTCCTCTTTTCCTTTTCTGAGGTATTGTAAATATGCTACATTGTTAAATTAAGTAAAGAGTAGTATGTGTATCAGGTGTTAAGGTATCAGATGCTTTGCTACTTAAGAAAAAAATAAGTTTACCGACTTCGAATGGCTTGCTTACAGCAAAATTTATCAGGCATTGTATAATTAGTATCTAATTGGTAAGATGATGGATGCATACTTCATGTGAAAGTGGTGATTATGACCAGGGACTGCTCTTTCTGCTATCCTTTGCCTTCTAAATTGCTACAATTACGATGAAACCTGCCCTCAATTAGACAGGTGCCAGATCTCCTCTATGCCTTTAAGGTAGCTTCAGCATTCCAGTAAGTGAATCTTAAGTATATAAAGATGGTTTCATGTTTCCTTCAGCTCTTTTCTTGAAGATGAGATGTTTCTCTTGCTGCCTGACACCACCTCCCCACCAAGAGGAGGAATCATATCACATTAAAGTCTAAAGCAATTTTCTCTCACTGTCTGGCCCAACTTTTATTTCTGTTCAGAATTAATTTTAGTCTCTAGTGTGATTGTAACATGAAAACCTTTGTTTTCTCAAAGAATAAGTTTGTCTTGGGAAGAAAATTTTTCAGATTTTTCCTTTGCATAGTTAACAAGCACATAGCTATCTATACTCCTTTGTGACACATTTTTAAATCAGATGTGTTTTGATGTAAGAAAAGAAATTATGTATTACCTTGTAACAGGTGGGAATTTCAGTAGTCTGGGACTTGCAATTTTTTTTCTGTAATGGTACAACAGGGAAGGCATGGGAAGTGTAGGGTATTTTAGTGATTTGTGATCTTCTAAGAACCTTCCAAGTGATAGGAAGAAAAACTACTAAACAGTGTGCTGGGTTTTTTACATAGCTGAAATAACAAGTAAGATGCATGCAACCTCGTATCTTTCTTCACCTGTCTAAAATTTAATTCTACCTGTAGAAACAAAATCAAACGTGGTGTGCATGGAATTTGAGACTAAGTACTTTGCAGATCAAGGTGAATTGAAGTTTACAGGAATAGTGAGTGTCAGGAGTGTCCTGCTACTGTTTGGGCTTTTTGTTTCCAAAAAGCCATGGAGGCGTGAAACTTGACTTAAAGGCTTTTGCACATCTCTGGTATGTCTGTGAATACCCTAATTCATGTCATGATTATGTCAGTATCTTTTTCCAGTGAGCCTAATTTAAAAAACAAAACAAAAAACCCAGATAAATTGTGGTCTAAGGTGTCTCAGCTGGGATGAGGAAAAAAAAAAAGAGGGTTTTTTTTCTCTCCCGTCCCACTGCTGAAGTGAGATGCTAGAACAGACAACTGATGTGAACGTGAACTGCTAGATCTGTCCAGTATCTCTTCTGTTTAAGAAAACCAAGAGGGAAGCTGAGGTCATGTTAACAAAATTGCTTTAAATTTGAAGATGCGGAATAGTTGAAGTGAGAGTTAAGAAGGAAGCAGGTTCCCTGCTGAGGAAACAGAATTAAGGTAGCGGCACCTGTGGTTGTAGTACAACTGGAGGGAGAAAGCCAGTGCAGTAGGTGTAGCAACTGGTTTGGCTTTATCTTTGGTAACTTTTGAAGAAGTTTTAAGGGTGCAGGTCTCCAGTGTAATGTATGCTTAGAAGAGTGGCTTTAAAGTAATTTAAAGTGTAACTTCTTTCCTAAAATTGGTAATTACCTCTTTTGATGCTAGTTTTTGGAAAATTGATGATTATCTAGTGGCAATCTGCTCTACTTTGGCATTCAAATGAGGGACAGATGTTTAAAGTAGGTTAATAACTAAATGTTTGGGTATATCTAAGAATTCCCCCCCCCCCAACCCCCCCCTGGGAACCCTTAGGTAGAGTAAAACAATTTTTTTTGCTCTCAAAAGCATATGTCCTGGTTTTGGCTGGGCTAGAGTTAATTTTCTTCCTAGTAGCTGGCATAGTGCTGTGTTTTGGATTTAGTAGGAGAAGAATGTTGATAACACACTGATGTTTTAGTTGTTGCTAAGTACTGCTTACACTAGTCAAGGACTTTTTGACTTCTCATACTCTGCCAGGTGCACAAGAAGCTGGGAGGGGACACAGCCAGGACAGCTGGCCCAAACTGGCCAAATGGCTAATCCATACCATATGACATCATGCTCAGTATATAAACTGGGGGAGTTGGCCAGGGGGCAATGATCGCTGCTCAGGGACTGGCTGGGCATCAGTCAGCAGGGGGTGAGCAATTGCATTGTGCATCACTTGCTTTGTATATTCTTTTATCAGTATCATTATTTTATCTTCCTCTACTGTCCTATTAAACTGCCTTTATCTCAACCCATGGGTTTTACTTTTTTTTTTCCCCCCCAATTCTGCCCCCCCCCCATTCCACTGGTGGGGGAGGGTGACGGAGCGGCTGTGTGGTGCTTGGTTGCCAACTGGGGTTAAACCACAACAGCGTAAAAGCACTGCAGCAGCCTGACTTGAGGGAGCAAGCAGCTGTTGCAGTTGGTGGAGATTTCATGTATCTATGTGTGGAGGAGGTAATGAATATAATATAAATGAAAATGTAGGATGTGAATCTTTGCAATACTGTCTTGTTTCCCATCTTCTAAGTTGATAATCCTTAGGCTTCTCATCGTACACAGTACAAAAGAAAGGCATTGGAAGCTCTTACAGAGGGTTATGTTAGTCACTAATAGGTAGCTTTTTTTACTGCTCTGTGATTTTTTTTTATCTACGGATTTTTTTTATTCCTTATATGATATAAGGTTATTCAATTGCCTTTGATTTTCCTCTTTCCTATTTCCTTTTTGTAATTGTAGCCTGTTTTTGTCCTTTTTCTCATTGGTAGAACGGGTTGAAAGCGATTGCCTTGGGTGTTTTATTCCAGTTTGTGTATTGTGACTGTCACCTCGCTGTAGTGTGAGTGAGGCACAGCAGTTTGTTTAGCACTTAGGTTTTGTAGTACTGCGTCCGCTGCATCCCAGGTGAGCTACAAGCCCAGCAGAGTACCACTGCACTGGAGCCCCTTAGTCTGTCCCTGAAGGGTAAGATGCGTCAAATT